GATAAATATGCCCAGAAAGTTATGTGTTCTCCTGAGAAGAAAACAGCATGTGCCACCAAGTTAATAAAAGAGTTTATTTATTTGCAACTTTATGTCTTCTCTTGTGAATATCCTGTGATCCCAGTAAAGCAATTTTCCCTGATGGGGAATAGTCTGGTGGCTCTCTCTCTCTCTCTCTCTCTCTCTCTCTCTGTGTATAGGTGTGTGTGCATATAGAGCAGAGGTAGGCAACCTTGGCTCTTTTATGACTCGTGGACTTCAACTCCCAGAATTCCTGAGCCAGCATGCCTCAGCTTGGGAACCTCTCCCTTTCCCCTCAGCATGGCTGGCTCAGGAATTCTGGGAGTTGAAGTCCATGAGTCATAAAAGAGCCCAAGTTGCCTACCCCTGGTATAAAGGGGTGTGTGTGTGTGTGTGTGTGTGTAGTCATCAACTTACAATCATTGGTTTAGTGACCAAAGTTACAACGACATGAAAGAAATGACTTATGGCCATGTTTCACACTTAACAACCGTTGCTGTGTCCCCCATGGTCATGCGATGGGCAATTGGAAACCGGCATATAAGTTTGCAGTGTCCCAGGGTCATGTGATCCCCCCTTTTGTGACTTTCTGTCAAGCCAAGTCAACGGGCAAGCCAGATTCACTTCCAGTAGCCCTGTTACTAAAAAACTGCAGCGATTCACTTAGCGACTGTGGCAACGAAAGGTCGTAAACTGGGGCAAAACTCACAATAACTGTCTTTGCACAGAACTGTGGGGCTCAGTTGTGGTCGTACCTTGTGGACTACCTGTATGGGGCTTCTGGCTTACTTCCTCCCAGCCTCCTCTGATCCAGAGTCGCTCCCATCATCCCTAACCACTAAGCCTGCCTGCCAAGCCCATTGCGCCCCTTCCACAAGGAAGGGCGCCAGGTTGGAGATCGTAATCCAATTCTCCAGATCCGGCAGCTCAGCAAACAACTCCCACCATCCCCAATCGGACAGCTGGCTGGGGATGGTGGGCTTGGGGGTCTCCCTCCCTCCCCATCTCCGCTAGGAGCGCGCGTAAAGGGCTCCCGGGCGCCGCCGGTTGCTTCTCCCCCTCGGCAGGCCGGCCGGCGCGGCCAGCAGATGGCTCCGGTTCCTCGGCTGGCCGAGGCCTCCCGAAAGAAGCTCCTCTCTTCTGCCTCTCTTCCTTCTCCCTCGCTCCCCGCTCGGCGACCTCGCAGGGGCTGGTCTTCCTCGAGCCGAGGCTGCGAGATCCGGTCCGCGGCGTCTATGGAGCCGAAGAAGAGTCCGCGCCTTCGGGGGCCGCTTTGGCGCCCGGCCTGAGCCAGAGGGCCGAGCAGCCCAGGGCTTGCCGGCGGGGTGGGGTGGTGGGATTCAATTGCAATCCCCTCCATCCTTCGAATTGGAGCCGGGGGTTGGACTAGAAGACCTCCAAGGTCCCCTCCAACTCTATGATTCCTCCCCCCGCCTCCATTCAGCCGAGGGTCCTGAACCATTTAGGGAAGCGGAACAGAGGCGTCCGAGCTGCAGAAGGTAACCCACGACCTTGCTTGTGTTGCGTGCACCTCTCTTTCCCACGTGACTTGCCAAGAAAAGATTGGATTTAAAAAAAAACAAGCAAGGAAGCAAAAGCAGGTTCCGTGGTTAAAAGCATCCTTCCTCCCACGGGAGTGTTCTGGATGTGGGGAACCACAGGTAATCTTTGACCCACAACAGTTCATTTAGTGACCCAAGTTTAGAACAGCACTGAAAAAAGTGACTGGCGGCCTTTTTTCACATGATGGTTGCAGCATCCCCATGCTCACGTGGTCGAAATTCAGATGCGTGGCAACTGGCTCATATTTATGACGGTTGCAGTGTCCCGAGATCATGGGATCCCCCTTTGCCACCTTCTGACAAGCCATGTCAATGGGGAAGCCAGTTTCACTTAACAACAGTGTTCCTGACTTAACAAGTGCAGTGATTCCCTTAACAACAGTGGCAGGAAAGGCCGTAAAAAGGGGCCAAACTCACTTAACAAACGCCTCACTTAACAACAGACGTTTTGAGCTCAATTGTGTTCGTAAGTCGAGGACCACCTGTACAAGCCCCATCGTTGCCAGCCTGCTGCCATGGAAGTCCAGCATCTTTGACAGGTGTCAGATTGGGGAACTTGCTTTGAGGTTGCATGGGCTGGACAGAATAGAAAAAACGAGAGATGGGGGGGAAAAGGGGAAGGGGTGCAGTTGTGTACTTCGGTTTGAGGGAAATTGGGGGTGTTTTGCATGTGGAAGGAGCCTGAAAAGTTTGGGCATTTCCCAGGAAAAATAAACTTTTTAGAAGGGTGCCATATGTTCCAGAGCAGACCCTAAGAGTCTGGTGCAAATCCCTAAAACCGCCAGAAATAGGTGTAATGGAGGACGCTGGGAACTGGTTTGGTGTGATGGTTAAGGTGCTGGGCCAGGAACTGGGGGATATGGTTTCTAGTTACTAGAACTAGCTGTTTTGGAACCTGTCACTCTTTCTCAGCCCAACCTACCTCACAGGGTTGTTGTGATGGGATAAATAGAATGTGGGAGCATTATGCATTATCCACTTTGTTGTTGTTAGTTGCGAAGTCGTGCCTGGCTGAGGAATTCTGGGAGTTGAAGTCCACAAGTCATAAAAGGACCAAGTTTGAACACCCCTGATCTAAGACGGGTAGGGAATCATGGCTCTTTTATGACTCGTGGACTTCAACTCCCAGAATTCCTGAGTCAACATGGCTGGTTCAGGAATTCTGTGTATTGAAGTCCACAAGCCATAAAAGAGCCAAGATTCCCTACCCCTGCTCTAAGCAGTGTTTGTCAACCTCAGCAACTTTAAGCTGTGTGGACTTCAATTCCCAGAATTCCCTAGCCAGCATGCTGCCTGGAGAATTCTGGGAGTTGAAGTCCACTTGTTTTAAAGCTGCCAAGTTTGGGAATCACTGATTTAGAAAGCTACCATTTCCCTACCCCTGATAGGGCTCACGGCCATAGCCGAGGCCAACCTTTATGTTGCTAAGTGAGACATTTGTTAAATGAGTTTTGCCCCATTGTACAACCTTTTTTGCCACAGGTGTTCAGTGAATTGCTGCAAGTTGTTAAATTAGTAATACAGTTGTTAAGTAAATTTGGCTTCCTCGTTGTCTTTGCTTTCCAGAAGGTCGCAAAAGGTGATCACGTGCCCCTAGGACACTACAGTCGTCATAAATATGAGTCAGTTGCCAAGCACTGATTATGTGACCCTGGGGATGCCGCAGTGGTCTTAAGTGTGAAAAACAGTCATAAGTCACTTCCTTCAGCGCTGTTGTAACTTTGAACAGTCACTAAACGAACTGCTGTAAGTCAAGGACTATCTGTATTTCATCCCAGTGCCCCATTCTTAATTTTGTAAAATGAAGAGAGTTTATCCTGGCTGCTTTCAGATTTCCTACATTTTTCCCTGCAATTCCAGTAGAAATCTAAAGAATGGCAGGCCGAGCCTTGTCTTTATATGTTTGTGCATATGTACAGTAGTGGCCAAAATTGTGGAAACCTTTTGGGAAAAGTGTATTTTTGAGGTTTAATGGCTAATAACACCACTTTTTTTTTTAAGTTATTGATGTTAGTTGCGAAGTCGTGTCCGACCCACCGCGACCCCATGGACAACGTTCCTCCTGGTCTTCCTGTCCTCTACCATCTTCTGGAGTCCATTTAAGTTCACGCCTACTGCTTCGGTGACTCCATCCAGCCACCTCATTCTCTGTCGTCCCCTTCTTCTGTTGCCCTCCATCTTTCCCAGCATTAGGCTCTTCTCCAGTGAGTCCTTCCTTCTCATTAGGTGGCCAAAGTACTTGAGTTTCAACTTCAGGATCTGGCCTTCTAAAGAGCAGTCGGGGTTGATCTCCTCTAGGACTGACCGGTTTGATCGCCTTGCGGTCCAGGGGATTCGCAGGAGTCTTCTCCAGCACCAGAGTTCAAAGGTCTCAATTCTTTGGCGCTCAGCCTTTCTTATGGTCCAACTTTCACAGCCATACATTGCAACTGAGAAAACCATGGCCTTGACTAGACGCACTTTTGTTGGCAGGGTGACGTCTCTGCTTTTTAGTATGCTGTCTAGATTTGCCATAGCTTTCCTCCCCAGGAGCATGGCTAATAACACCACTTTTTTTGGGGGGAGTAGTACCATAAAATTATATATCAATGGAAAGATGATTTAATCAAGAATGTAATGCAACTTAGTTTGTTCAATTATCTGTACTGTATTCTATGAAAAGTTATAGCCATATAACCAGAAAAAAATGGAAGCACAACTTGCTTAGGTTGATATCAGGTAGCTTTCCTTCATCTGATTGTAGCCAATGAGCATGAGTGTTTAGAGAGCCAATCATCTTGTTTTGGCAATGGGCCAATCAGATCACAGTAGGATTCAGTTATTGATGTCAGGTATTGAAGCTGAGAGGAGGACAGTTTATCAGTGCGTTATGTGATCGTTATCAAGTTGGTTGTGGTTTTTTTTGTGTTCTTTCATTTAGTGAGCTTGTAAAACGTAATAAAATTAAAGTAATGGTGCAAAGAGTTGACTGGTCGCACAGAGAGCGATGTAAAATAGTATTACTAAGTGAACAAGGCTACAGTTATAAAGAAATTAGAAGGAAAATGGGTGGAAACTTAACCAAAGGTGGCATTTCTCCTGTACACTTTTCCCAAAAGGTTTCCACCGTTTTGGCCACTACTGTATGTAATAATGATGATGATGATGATGATGATGATGATGATGATGATGATGATGATGATGATGATGATAAAGTTGGAAGGGACCTCGGAGGTCATCTAGTCCAACCTCCTGCTCAGGCAGGAAACCCTATACCATTTCGGACAAATGGCTGTCCAGGAGCAACTGTTTTTTTAAAAGAACAGCACCCCTCAACCAAGGTACCCCCATCTGACCTCCCCTTTTCTCCCTGACAGATTTGGCAAAATGATGTGTGTGTTTGTCTTTGGAACGTTCCCTCCTCTGGGAGGAACAGAGATGGTGACAACGGAACCTTTTCAGGTAGCAGAGGGGTTGGGGGGGGGAACCGAACTAGGTTGCGCTTATTAAAATGAAGCCCACAAGAGAACTTATTGCCCTAATCTTTTCTGTCCTCCTCGCAGGCACCGCCATTCTCATTTGAAGAGGTGGCCGTGTACTTTACAGAGGTAGAATGGGCTCTCCTGGACACAGAGCAGAGAGATCTGTACTGGGATGTCATGCAAGAAAACTACGAGGCTGTGGCTTCACTGGGTAAAAATTCCCTCCTTTCCCCCCCCCTTTGCTTTGTTATTGTTAGTTGCGTAGTTGTATCCGACCCATCGCGACCCCGTGGACAACGTTCCTCCAGGCCTTCCTGTCCTTTGCCATCTTCTGGAATCCATTTAAGCTCATGCCTATTGCTTCAGTGACTCCATCCAGCCACCTCATTCTCTGTCGTCCCCTTCTTCTATTGCCCTCCATCTTTCCCAGCATTAGGCCCTTCTCCAGTGAGTCCTTTCTTCTCATTAGGTGGCCAAAGTACTTGAGTTTCAACTTCAGGATCTGGCCTTCTAAAGAGCAGTCAGGGTTGATCTCCTCTAGGACTGACTGGTTTGATCGCCTTGCAGTCCAGGGGGCTCGCACGAGTCTTCTCCAGCACCATAGTTCAAAGGCCTCAATTCTTTGGCGCTCAGCCTTTCTTATGGTCCACCTCATTCTCTGTCGTCCCCTTTCTTCGCTTGCCCTCAATCTTTCCAAGCATTAGGCCCTCCTCCAGTGAGTCCTTCCTTCTGATTAGGTGGCCAAAGTATTTGAGTTTCAACTTCAGGATCTGGCCTTCTAAAGAGCAGTCAGGGTTGATCTCTTCTAGGACTGACCACTTTGAAAGCCTTGCAGTCCAAGGGACTCGCAGGAATGCCAATGGGAACTGCTGCAAAATGGTGGGTGTGAAGCAATCTCCTTGCCAGCTGTACCTTAACAGGTAGTCCTTGACTTAAGTCGCCCACTACCGCTTTATAAAGCCTTAGTAAAGCCACACCTGGAATACTGCATCCGGTTTTGGTCACCGCATTACAAAAAAGATGTTGAGACTTTGGAAAAAGTGCAAAGAAGAGCAACTAAGATGATTAAGGGCTTGGAGACTAAAACATGTGAAGAACGGTTGCAGGGTTTGGGAATGGCCAGTCTAGAGAAAAGAAGGACTAGGGTGGGACATAATAGCAGAATTCCAGTATTTGAGAGGCTGCCACATAGAGGACGGGGGTCAAATTGTTTTCCAAAGCACCAGAGGGCAGGACAAGAAACAATGGATGGAAACTAGTCAAGGAGAGAAGCAACCTGGAATTAAGAAGAAACTTCCTAACAGTGAGGACAATTAACGAGTGGAATAGCTTGCCTTCAGAGGAAGAGAGGGAGAGGGAGGGAGGGAGGGAGGGAGGGAGGGAGGGAGGGAGAGGGAGAGAGACACAGAGAGAGAGAGAGAGAGAGAGAGAGAGAGAGAGAGAGAGAGAGAGAGAGAGAGAGAGAGAGAGAGAGAGAGAGAGAGAGAGAGAGAGAGAGAGAGAGAGAGAGAGAGAGAGAGAGAGAGAGAGAGTTAAAAAGATTCAAACATTTTTTAAAAAATACAAAATTATCTTTCATTTGTGGGGTGGCCACAGTGGCCTGAAACCGGCAAGCATTTTCTACGTTGGTAGCCCCTGTCCAAAGAACATTTCATTTTGCATTGTTTATAGAAATCAGTCTCTTTAAACATTCTGACTCTTTGGGACATCCACTGCTGTTTGTGTCAGTTGTGGGCTGCCAGGCATTTAACCAACTTCATCATTTTCTCCCTCTTTTGTGTACACTTGTGCATGCATGCACGCAATGCAGCTGTTGCAATCCCCAAGCCCGAGTTGATCTATCGTCTGGAACGAGGAGAAGAGCCATGGATCTCTGCCCAAGCAGCCTCGGAGGAGAAAAAAATCCCCCTCAACCTATATGAAGGTGAGAGAAAAGGAAGGTGAAGCAGCGGTGAGCTTTGGGGCTAAATCTGTCAAAAATGGTGTGCTTGGAGTTGGATTAGATTTTTTGCCGAAAAACAGGCATTTGCTTCTGTTTTTCAGCAAAAATGCCTCAGAACGATCAATGGGTTTGCGTAACGATCGTGGTGTTCAGGTAACGACCACAGATTCCACCTAACCCCCGCCACAAAAAGGTCGTAAATGGCAGATTCCGTTAAGGACGTAAGTCGAGGACTACTTGCATCTTAAAGCAGGATTAAGCTAATTTGTGGAAGTGAAAACGACGGAAGGCAGTGGGTGTATATTTCATTTAGTTCAGGGGTAAGCAACCTTGGCTCTTTTATTACTGGTGGACTTCAACTCCCAGAATTCCTGAGCCAGCATGGCTCAGCTTGGAAACCTCTCCCTTTCCCCTCAGCATGGCTGGCTCAGGAATTCTGGGAGTTGAAGTCCACGAGTCATAAAAGAGCCAAGGTTGCCTACCCCTAGCATAGATGATCTACAAGATCCCTTCCAACTCTGTTATTCTATTCTGTTCTGTTTTGTTCCTGTTCTGTTTTGTTACTTTTCTGTTCTAAATGGCCATGATCTAATCTGTTGTTCTGATGTTCCACCAACAGATGTGGCTGGCATCTTTGGAGGCAAAGTGAGCTGCTTTGTGTTGTGCCGCTTGACAGCCCACACACAACTGAACTGAGCCAACTAGGCTCTTGTATATGAAGCTGGCCAGCTGATCTCTGATTTGTCCATATCTCGGAAGTCCCCAAAAATTGGTTCCTGATTGTCTATGCCAGGGGTAGGCAACCTTGGCTCTTTTATGACTGGTGGACTTCAACTCCCAGAACTCCTGAGCCAACATGGCTCAGCTTGGAAACCTCTCCCTTTCCCCTCAGCATGGCTGGCTCAGGAATTCTAGGAGTTGGAGTCCACAAGTCTTAAAGTTGCCAAGCTGGCTGAGGAATTCTGGGAGTTGAAGTCCACAAGTCTTAAAGTCGCCAAGGTTGGAGACCACTGCCTTAGCCTCATTCCCCTCCCCCCTTCTCTTTCTCAGGAAACAACTTTCCTCTGGCTTCTCCCACTATGCCAGCAAGCAAGGTGATCGTGAGGGAGATCAAGGAAGAGATGGCAGAACCTGACATTTTGGATCCAGAAGATCCTCCGTGGGCTTTGCTGGGGCCACCCACAGAGAACCCTTCCTTAGCCTCAGAGGCCCGGTGCGGCCTGCAGAGACAGTGGGAGCTACAGGCCGGGCACATCTGGCGGGAACCCTCCAGGCACATCAGGGCAGCCAGTTCCAAGCACAGCATGTTCCACGTAGGCCGGAAGAAGCTGATGTGCCCCGAATGCGACCGGTGGTTTCACTGCAAGTCGGAATTCTTGCTGCACTGGCGGACCCACACGGGCGAGAAGCCCTACGAGTGCCTGGCCTGCGGCAAACGCTTCATCCAGAGCTCCCACCTGAGTGCCCACCGGCGCATCCATACGGGCGAGAAGCCCTACGAGTGCCCCCGGTGTGGGCGGAGCTTCAACCGGCGCTCCACCCTGACAGAGCACCTGAGGATCCACACCGGGGAGAAGCCGTACAAGTGCCTCCAGTGCGGGGAGAGCTTCCGCTGGAGGCCCTACCTGACCAAGCACCAGAGGGTCCACCTGGGCAACGCTGCGTACCGAGGCCTCAACAACAGAGAAGCCATCTTTGAAGACTCGCCCTGCCCTGAGCCTCTGGGAAGACTAACAGGCAAGTCTGATTTTAGTCTCTGCCTTTGCCCGGAACGGAACGGAACGGAACAGAATAATGGAATGGAATGGAATGGAATGGAATGGAATGGAATGGAATAGAATAGAATAGAATAGAATAGAATAGAATAGTGCAATGGAATGGAAGAATAGAATAGAATAGAATAGAATAGAATAGAATAGAATAGAATAGAATAGAATAGAATAGTGCAATGGAATGGAAGAATAGAATAGAATAGAATAGAATAGAATAGAATAGAATAGAATAGAATAGAATAGAATAATGGAATGGAATAATAATAGAATAGAATAGAATAGAATAGAATAGAATAGAATAGAATAGAATAGAATAGAATAGAATAGAATAGAATAGAATAATGGAATGGAATAATAATAGAATAGAATAGAATAGAATAGAATAGAATAGAATAGAATAGAATAGAATAGAATAGAATAGTGGAATGGAATAATAATAGAATAGAATAGAATAGAATAGAATAGAATAGAATAGAATAGAATAGAATAGAATAGAATAGAATAGAATAGTGGAATGGAATAATAATAGAATAGAATAGAATAGAATAGAATAGAATAGAATAGAATAGAATAGTTGGAAGGGACCTTGGAGGTCTTCTAGTCCAACCCCCTGCTCAGGCAGGAAACCCTATACTATTTCAGACAAGTGACTGTCCAGACTCTTCTTAAAAACTTCCAGTGTTGGAGCATTCACAACTTCTGGAGGCAGGTTGTTCCACCGATTAATTGTTCTAACAGTCAGGAAGTTTCTCCTTAGTTCTAGATTGCTTCTCTCCTTGATTAGTTTCCACCCGTTGCTTCTTGTCCTGCCTTCAGACGCCTTGGAAAATAGCTTGACTCCCTCTTCTTTGTGACAGTTCCTCAAATATTGGAACACTGCTATCATGTCCCCCCTCGTCCTTCTCTTCATTAAACTAGGCATACCCAATTCCAGCAGCCATTCCTTATATGCTTTAGCCTCCAGACCTCTAATTATCTTTGTTACTCTTCTCTGCACTCTTTCTAGAGTCTCTTTCTTGTTGTACTTCAGTCGCTAAATAGTGTCCGACTCTTCGCAACCCCATGGACCGTACCTTGCCAGCCCCCCTGCCCTACACAGTCTCCTGTAGTTTGCCCAAATTCATGTTCATTGCATCGATGACACTATCCAACCATCTCATCCTCTGCTGTCTACTTCTCCTTTTGCCTTCCATCTTTCCCAACATCGGGGTCTTTTCCAGTGAGTCTTCTCCTCGTTAGGTGGCCAAAGTATTTCAGCTTCAGCTTCAGCATCTCTCCTTCCAAAAAACAGTCAAGGTTGATTTCCTTTAGGATTGACTGATCAGCTTTCCTTGCAGTCCAAGGGACTCTCAAGAATCTTCTCCAGCACCACAATTCGAAAGCGACAGGTAGATTAGTCAGTCTCTTAATGACTGCCTTGTTTACCAACCGGAGTTCCCTTAACATTGAAAAAGTAAATGTCATGGTTCCGACAGATGAAACTCTTCAGAGAACTTCGAGGCATTGTTTACCTTAAAGAATCTTTATTGGAGTAGCATAGCTTCGGCACTAACATAGTTGAAGCCAAAATCTAGATTCCCCTCCCCTTAGCACATAGTATCAAACACAATTTCCTCCTCTAATTAACAGTCATAAATCACATTCTCCAATTAGTTTGAAATGCAGGCTTTCCCTCCTGTTCTCCAACCTGCCATTTCTTATCATCTCTTATTTCAAAAGCCCTGAATTCACACACAATTACAATATGGCTATGTCTAACACATTCCTCCCCCTCCCACAGCATCATCTAATTCTAAGAGTAAAGCATAAGAAAGAAAAAGGCTGCACCTTCATATGTTGTCAAAGCAAGAACATCCAATGTTAGCAGCGTTGACAGTAACTTTACGACCGGTCCTCATAGTTACAACCAGCCCAACATCCTATAGTCACGTGGTCACCATTTGCATCTTTCACAGCTGGCTTCTGACAAGCAAAATCAATGGGGAAACCAGCATAAAATGGCAAGTGGCAATCACGTGATGCCTTGCTTAACAAACGCATAATTTCACAATGGGGTTGTCAGTATCAATTGTGTTTTTTTAAGCGAGGACTACCTGTATTTATTTAACCGTTCCTTCTGAATGCCAGTCAGGCTGCATATGTTTTGCATCCTTCCTTCTCTCCTATATTGTAAGATGAGAACGTTGGGGCATAATTTCTCCAAAAGGGAAGGGATCCACTTCTAAGATGGGCCTATCCTGTCTTTCAAATCATACCGGCACTTTCTTGGTGTTCCTTTGCTTCCTGAAAGAAAGAAAGAAGATGTCTCTGCTTTAGTTAGCATTTCTAGATTTATCCGGTGTCTAAAATCCAAAGATTTGCTATATTTGCAGGCATGTGCCTGTGGGAGGTAAGCAAAGGTCAGTGATGGCGAACCTTTTAGAGACCGAGTGCCCAAAAACTGGCCCTGCCTCTGCTCCACCCCCTGCCCCGCCCCTGCCCCGCCCCCACCCCACCTGCCTGCAGGGCCACTCACCGTCTCCAGGGCCCGCCGCAGATTGCCCAGGCAGTCCAGCAGCACCATGGCGGCCATGCCCTCTGCCCACGCCCGGCAGCATCAACTGTGCATGGTGGGGCGTGAGGGCAGAGTCTTGTCCACGCTGCCTGGCTGCCATGTCCTTGGCTGCACTGCTCCGTGTGGGCCACGCTTGGTGGACGACTCTCCTCCAGGGGGGCTACTGGTGAGGAGGGGGTCGTGGGGGGAGACGAGGCTGGGGCAACGGCACGTGTGCCCACAGAGAGGGCTCCGAGTGCCGCCTCTGGCACACGTGCCATAGGTTCGCCACCACTGACATAGGTTGTGGCACATATTAAAAGGGTTAAGGGCATCAGTTGCGCTCACAGCTTCTATCTTGACATGCTCACCTCTCCGCAGATGCCTCTGCTTACCGGCAAAGCACCCCAAAACTCAGATAAAGGGCTGTGAACGTGATTAATATCAGTGGGGATTCTTACAATCGTCAGTCATGTGACCCAAGAGATGTGATATCGTACGGCAGGGCTTTTCAACCTTTTCACCCATTGTACCACTTTTAGGATATGGCAACATCCGAGTACCACCAGTCGCCTAGCAAGGTGTCAAAAACTTGATGACCCCCCCCAAAAAAAGGAAAAAAGTGATAAAGTACAGGTAGTCCTCAACTTACAACAGTTCGCTTAATGACTGTTCGAAGTTACAATGGCACTGAAAAAAGTGCCCCCCAAGCCACAGCCAAGCAAGACACCTGTCTGCCCACCCGGCGGTGCTCTTCCTCCTGTCCGAGGTTTTCATTGTTGTGAGCATTTCTGTTGGGGATTGGCAGTGGAGTTGGGGTGGGGGGGTGTTTGGTTTTTATTCCACCCTTCTGCTGGGTGGTTGCAGCAGGTTTTGGTCACTTCACATGACCCTGGGACACTGTGACCGTCATAAATATGAATCAGTTGCCAAGCATCTGAATGTAAATCACAAGACCCTGGAGATGCTGCAACATTCCAGCTGATCGGCACTTCTTCTGGGCTCAGCAGAAGTGCCAGGATCAGTGCTGAGCTCCAGCTGGAGCCTGGCACTGATCCTGGCACTTCCACTGAGCCCTGACAGCCCCGAAGAAGCGCCGATCAGCTGGAAAGCAGCACTGATCCTGGCGCTTCCGCTGAGCCCTGACAGCCCTGCAGCTCCAGCCGTCTCTCGCTCAGGCTTGTGCGGTGCTGCCACCGGTTCAGCTCATTCCCTTCCCCCTAGGATGGTTGCGTGCCACCTGCCAGGTGCCAATGTACCACAGGTGGTACCCGTACCACTGGTTGAAAAGCCCTGTCCTACGGAGTGAAATCCTCAGAAGCAAACATCTGGCTGCAGAAGAAGCCTCAGCTCTTAGAAACAAGTCCATTTATGTCCCAAAGGTGCTTTTTCAAGAGGCACCTGGACTTTCTTATTTTTGTTTGAATGTTTTTCTCATCCAAAAAGCTTCTTCGGCTCAGTCAGCTGCCCCCTTCTGGACAAAGAGCTCTGATGCTATTCTGGGATGTGTTTGGAGCTATTCTCCCAGCTTAAGAAGTCACGGCCCCAATTTCTCCTGCCGCTGCTGGGCCCACTTTGGCCTTTACTTTCCACGTCCTCACTGGTTCTTCCTCCAGGCCCTGGCAACAACTTCTCGTGCTCCTTCTCCCTGACGTTGCTGTCACTTAGCACCATTATGTCTATCACCACCTCCCATCTTCTGCTCCTTGTCCACTGCCCCAGTGACAAGTTGATTGGCTTGTATCTGCCTGTCCATCTGCACTTGGAAATCCCACAAGATGTTGGTGTTGTTATTCTCTATGACCTTCTATAGAATCTCCCATCTGGACTTTGGAGGATCTAGACCAGGGGTAGGCAACCTTGGCTCTTTTATGACTCGTGGACTTCAACTCCCAGAGTTCCTGAGCCAGCATGGCTCAGCTTGGAAACCTCTCCATTTCTCCTCAGCGTGGCTGGCTCAGAAATTCTGGGAGTTGAAGTCCACGAGTCATAAAAGAGCCAAGGTTGCCTACCCCTGAGCTGGAGGGTTGCAATGGGAGGGCTTTAAAGTTTTGTCCTGTGGCATCTTCTTATTGGGTATCGCTCTTCATTTTCTGTACAAACCACTCTGGAGGTTTTAGGTGAGAAAGCACACTTGGGGGAGGGGAAATAATGTAGACCAGGGGTAGGCAACCTTGGCTCTTTTATGACTCGTGGACTTCAACTCCCAGAATTCCTGAGCCAGCATGGCTCAGCTTGGAAACCTCTCCCTTTCCCCTCAGCATGGCTGGCTCAGAAATTCTGGGAGTTGAAGTCCACCTGTCATAAAAGAGCCAAGGTTGCCTACCCCTGATCTAGCCCATACACTGTGCAGATGTTCCTATACACAATGGAATTCTTTATTGGCCAAGTGTGATTGGACACACTAGGGATTTGTCTCCGGTGCATAAGCTCTCGGTGTACAATGCCAGCTCCTTGGTTGTGCCATTCAGTATTTGTGTGTGGGTATAAAGCGAAATGAAATAAGGGGAAAATAGAAACACGAGAGAAAACCAGTCAAAGATAGCTAAAATATAGATAGAGATACACGAAAGATTTAAAGGAAAAACAACCATTGAGGAATAGAATGAAACCTTGTGATATACAGTAGTGGCCAAAATTGTGGAAAGCTTTTGGGAAAAGTGTACAGTAGAAATGCCACCTTTGGTTAAGTTTCCACCCATTTTTCTTCTAATTTCTTTATAACTGTAGCCTTGTTCACTTAATAATTCTATTTTACATCGCTTTCTGGGCAACCAGTCAACTCTTTGCACCATTACTTTAATTTTATTACGTTTTACAAGCTCACTAAATGAAAGAACACAAAAAAAAACCCCAACCAACTTGATAACGATCAAATAACACACTGACAAATGTCCTCCTCTCAGCTTCAATACCTGACATCAATAACTGAATCCTACTGTGATCTGATTGGCTCATTACCAAAACAAGATGACACCTGATTCGCTCTCTAAACACTCATGCTCATTGGCTACAATCAGATGAAGGAAAGCTACCTGATGTCAACCTAAGCAAGTTGTGCTTCCTTTTTTCTGGTTATGTGGCTATAACTTTTCATAGAATACAGTACAGATAATTGAACAAACTATGTTGCATTACATTCTTGATTAAATTATCTTTCCATTGATATATAATTTTATGGTACTACTCCCCCCCCCCAAAAAAAAGTGGTGTTATGAGCCATCAAACCTCAAAAATACACTTTTCCCAAAAGGTTTCCACAATTTTGGCCACTACTGTAAATACATTTAAATCAACTGCTGTCTCCGCCTTGTTCTTCCTCTCTCCTCCAGCGGATGGCGCCATCGAGAGTGGCGCCCCAGAAACCGAGTCCCTGCATGCTGTCACCGCCTTGTCAAAACCGGGCAGTGGGGCAAAGCCCAGCCCTGAGATCTGCGGGCTCAGGCAAGGCTCAGGCGGGCAGCCGCCCAGATGGCCCGTAAAGACCGAATCGGAGCTGCTGCCCGGTGGGAACGACGTCACCGACATCAGCCAAATCAAGATCGTTCAGATCGAGAAGAAGCACGTGTGCCACGACTGTGGGAAAGCCTTCCAGTATAAATTTGAGCTGGTGAAGCACCGCCGGACCCACACGGGGGAGAAGCCCTTCGAGTGCCTGGCCTGCGGGAAGCGCTTCTTCCAGAGCACCCACCTCAATGCCCACCTGCGCATCCACACGGGCGAGAAGCCCTACGAGTGCCCCCGGTGTGGGCGGAGCTTCAACCGGCGCTCCACCCTGACCGAACACCTGAGGATCCACACGGGGGAGAAGCCGTACAAGTGCCTCCAGTGCGGGGAGAGCTTCCGCTGGAGGCCCTACCTGACCAAGCACCAGAGGGTCCACCTGGGAGAGAACACCTACAGATACTTCGACAGCGGAGGAAGCCTCTATGGCACCTCTTCCTTCCCAGAGCATCATCAGGAGGAGAACCAACCAGGTAAGCCAATGTTAGCCCTTCAAGGTAGCTTTCCCAGTTAAACCAGACAGGAAACACAACGAGATACGTCCCAGCGGTGCTTTTTTCACGAGGCAACTGGGCTTTCTTGTTTTTCTTTGAAGTCGTTTCGCTTCTCACCCAAGAAGCTTCTTCAGCTCTGACTGGACGGTGGGGGAATGGAAGGATTTATACTCCTTGCAGACTGCTGGTCATTTGCGTTCTTTTTAGAGAGTCGTTGAGGCCACTTGGAGGTTTATCTGTATCCTCGGCGTCACCTGAGTAGCGCAAATGGGTGTGGAGCCTTCCTTAACAAAACTGAAATTTCAAAGATCTTCACAACAGTCGTATTTGCAAACTTGTGGTAATTGCAGTGCCCCTGCGTTCACGTGATCGGGATTTCTGATGCTCCCTGCCAGCTTCCCACAAGCAAAGTCAATGGGGAAGCTGGCAGGAAAACGTAAGTCACTCCCGCTCCTTCTACTTTTTCGCGACCACCTTGACCACCTACTCCCGGGTTTCTACATTTACCCCAGACAAAGTAATACGGCTTTCCCTCTCGTGGATAAAAAGTGATGTGGAAAAGATGAAGGTAACTTTCTATTAAAGCAGCGGTTCTCAACCTATGGGTCGCGACCCCATTTGGGGTCGATCGACCAGTTCACGGGGGTCGCCAAGCAAGGCTGTCCGCCATTTTTTTCCCCTTTTCCGGCAGGTGCCTTACCTCCCTTGAGCTGGGCCAGCTGGTGGTCAGCCTGCTCCATCTCTGCCACTTGCCAGCTACGTCTCGGCCGGCGCAGGGGGCGGAAACACGTATGCGCGGCGCACCCGGGCAGGGAAAGTCCTCGACTTACGACCGGTTGGGTAGTCCTTGACTTACGACCGGTTTAGTCCTTGACTTATGACTGGTTTAGTCCTCGACTTACGACCGGTTGGGGGTCGCAGCATTAAAAAGGTTGAGAACCACTGTATTAAAGCTTGTAAGTCAGGGGACCATCTGTACTGCAAACTCTGGATGACCATCAGATGGCAGCAAAGTATTAAAGTGTTTTGTATCTCTTTGCTGCCATCTAGTGGTCATGCAGAGCCACTCAGCCTGTACTACTGATCTGATAGCACTGCTCTAGGACAGGGCTTTTCAACCAGTGGTACGGGTACCACCTGTGGTACATTGGCACCTGGCAGGTGGTACGCGGCCATCCTAGAAAAGTAGCGGGGGAGGGGAATGAGCTGAACCGGTGGCAGCACCGCACAAACCTGAGCGAGAGATGGCTGGAGCTGCAGGGCTGTCAGGGCTCAGCAGAAGCGCCAGGATCAGTGCTGCTTTCCAGCTGATTGGCGCTCCTTCGGGGCTGTCAGGGCTCAGTGGAAGCACCAGGATCAGTGCCAGGTTCCAGCTGGAGCTCAGTGCTGATCCTGGTGCTTCTGCTGAACCCAGAAGCACCAATCAGCTGGAAAGCAGCACTGATCCTGGTGCTTCTGCTGAGTCCAGAAGAAGCGTCGATCAGCTGGAATGTTGCATCATCTCCAGGGTCTTGTGATTTACATTGAGATGCTTGACAACTGATTCATATTTACGACGGTCACAGTGTCCCAGGGTCATGTGAAGTGACCAAAACCTGCTGCAACCACCCAGCAGACGGGGGGAATAAAAACCAAACACCCCCCACCCCACCCCAGCTGCCAATCCTCAACAGAAATGCTCACAACAGTGAAAACCTCGGACAGGAGGAAGAGCGTTGCCGGGTGGGCAGACAGGTGTCTTGCTTGGCTGTGGCTTGGGGGGGCACTTTTCTCAGTGCCATTGTAACTTCGAACAGTCACTAAGTCGAGGACTACCTGTACTTTATCCCTTTTTTCCTTTTTTTTTTTTTTTTTTTGGTCATCAAGTTTTTGACACCTTGCTAGGCGACTTGTGGTACTCGGATGTTGCCATATCCTAAAAATGGTACAATGGGTGAAAAGGTTGAAAAGCCCGGCTCTAGGACTCTAGGTCTAGGATCATGGTGGCGAACCTACGGCACGCGTGCCACAGGTGGCACGCAGAGTCCTCTCTGTGGGCGCGCGCGCCCTCGCCCCAGTCCTAGGCCTTCAGCTGGGTTTTATAAAACTTTTTCGGTTTAGGCCTCCACCACTGTGTGCAGGGGAAAAAAAGGTTCAATCAATCAATCAATTTCAACTTCTCGCAGGAAAAAAAAAGATCTTGCAAAGTTGGAATTGATTGATTGAACTTTTTAGTCCCACCCAGTCTGCCGTTACCACCGCAGCCACGCCCATCCAATGGGCCACGCCCACCCAGCACCCGACGATACATAAGTGGGTTTTGGGTTGCAGTTTGGGCACTCGGTCTCTAAAAGGTTCGCCATCACTGATCTAGGAGCTACAGAAGAAACCTTTGTGTTGTGGAGTGTTTGGTGTTCTTTGAGCTTGGTTGCTTGCTTGCAGATGTTTCTTTACCCCGACTACACAATGTTATTAGTGCCAGGGAGTATGGAATTTAGTCCATGTTTCTCTGTAGTAGCTTGCCCTGCCAGTGTTTGTTTTATCCTTGGTACTTCCTTGATTAGGGTTTGATTGTTTGTTTTACGTACTCCTGTACTCCTGTACTTTACCACCGCTTACTTGAACATTAGTTTAAAAAGGAACCATATATGAATTTTACCCATGTTCTGTGTTCTTGGGAAAAACCTTGCTAAAACATTAACAAAAGACTCTTAGATGAAGCCAGGTTATAACATTTCGAGGGTTTTGATTTCCATCTACATCGTTCTTCGCCCCGTTGTCTGTCCTACGTCTGAACTTAGGAGTATCCAAAATGTTCAACCACGATTGATCCAAAACATCTGGAGGATATCAAATGCGGCCTGACAAAACAGGCACAAATAATCAAATCATTTATCCCAATGACTGAGCGTGACCGATGCAATCGTGGAAGAATTTGTCTCCCCTGCCAACCAACACACCCCCCCCCCCCCGGTGAGACTTGTGAGTGTTTTGCGAGGACAGACTAATAAAACTGTGGAGCAAACTGGAAAACTGAAGCAAAGGGTGAAATAGAGGATTTCAGGCCATCTGAACCGGCTGGAAATGTGAGCAGCAGCGTTCCACCATTGCACCATTTTCTTTCTTGGCGTCTTTGAAGCACCTCCAACGCTGGAAGTTTTTAAGAAGAGACTGGACCGCCATTTGTCTGAAATGGTATAGGGCGGGGTGTCAAATTCAATTTCATTGAGGGCCGCATCAGCATTGTGGTTGCCCTCAGGGGGAGGGCAGGTGTGTGTGGCCAGGATGGGCGCGGCCTACTGGGTGGGTGTGGATGGAGTGGGTGTGGCCTACTGGGTGGGCGTGGCCAGCTCTACATCATTCGCATCAAGGGTGCCTGTGGGGGCCTGGGCAGGAGTGGGACAGATCTGAGGGTCTCTGGTAGAAGGGGGTGGGACCGGGGCAAGCGCCAAGGCATGGTCCATTTCTTCATTCCTCACAAAGGGTGACATCTCCCCAGCATGCGCCCAGGGGGCGGGGCCAACACGGCAGGGGCCGGTCCCTTGCTGTTTCCAGATGGCCTTGTGGAGCTAAGACTGAATGCATTTCAGTATAGATGGCCACCACAAAATTATCCATTGACTCCCGGCTGGCCTGGGCCAAGGCCAAGGCAGCGGGGGCCGTTCCCTCACTGTTTCCAGGATGGCGTCGTGGGCCACATGAACCCACGTCGCAGGCCGCATCCGGCCCCCAGGCCTTGTGTTTGACATGTCTGGTATAGGGTTTCCTGCCTGAGCAGGGGGTTGGACTAGATGACCTCCAAGGTCCCTTCCAACATTGTTGTTGTTGTTAGTTGCGAAGTCGTATCCGACCCATCGCGACCCCATGGACAATGTTCCTCCAGGCCTTCCTGTCCTCTGCCATCTTCTGGAGTCCATTTAAGTTCACGCCTACTGCTTCAGAGACTCCATCCAGCCACCTCATTCTCTGTCGTCCCCTTCTTCTCTTGCCCTCCATCTTTCCCAGCATTAGGCTCTTCTCCAGTGAGTCCTTCCTTCTCATTAGGGGGCCAAAGTACTTGAGTTTCAACTTCAGGATCTGGCCTTCTCAAGAGCAGTCAGGGTTGATCTCCTCTAGGACTGACCGGTTTGATCGCCTTGCAGTCCAGGGGACTCGCAGGAGTCTTCTCCAGCACCAGAGTTCAAAGGCCTCAATTCTTTGGCGCTGAGCCTTTCTTATGGTCCAACTTTCACAGCCATACATTGCAACTGGGAAAACCATGGCCTTGACTATACGCACTTTTGTTGGCAGGGTGATGTCTCTGATGATGATGATGATGATGATGATGATGATGATGATGATCTTCTTGCTGCATTTTTTAATTCTGTTTTCCCTCCTGGCCAGAATATTTAACCACCACCCCAGATTTAATCTCCCAACGAGACCCATGGTGGCTCCAGCAGTCGGAGGAAAGGGAGACCCGAGGGAGTCGGAGTCGAGGCAAAGGACAACGTGGACCATCTTGGATCCTCTCTGAGGGAGAATCTGAAGGCCGTGTTTCGCCCACTCCTCCCCCTTACAATGGGGCAGGACCCAGAGATGCTTGTGAGTTGTTGTTTTCTTTGTATCCTTCCAACAAACGGATCGTAACTGTGTCCGGAATCTGGACGGCTTCACTTTGAGAGGGGAAGGGGCTCTCCAGAGCAACGATAACTACAGGTAGCCCTTGACTTACGACCACAACTGACTCCAGAATTTCAGTTGCTAAGCGAGACTGTTATTAACTCAGTTTTGCCCCATGTTAAGCGAAGGACTGCAGTTGTTAAGTTAGTAACACGGCTGTTAAGTGAATCTGATTTCCCCATTGACTTTGCTTGTCAGAAGGTGATCACGTGACCCCGGGACACGGCAACCATCACAAATACGAACCAGTTGCCAAAGCATCCGAATTTTGATCACGTGACCCTGGGGATGCTGCAACGGTCCATAAGGGTGAAAAACGATCATACGTCTCCTTTTTTTCGGGGTCGTCATAACTTTGAATGGCCGCTAAAAGAATGGTTGTAAGTCGAGGAGTACATGTAAGTGAGTGGCCCAGCTAAATCACACACCTTCCAAGCCTTAAAATAACCCGCAACAGCAACAAGGCTAGCCAGGTTTCCCAGTCCAAATGCCTGAGGGAAACAACTTGGTCACCAAGAGTTTTAGGAAAGACCTATAGGGTGGGGGCCATCTGGATCCTCAGGGAAACATTTTTCTGCCACCGAAGGCTGGATGACATCGTTTAATAGAGAGGACCCAGAGCTTGGTCTCTCTGCTACGTTTGGTGGGTTGAGCAGAAATGATGGGAGAAAGTCAGTCCCACAAATTGTTGTGATTCCATGCCAGCCTGTGATCCTGGTAGTTGAGTCTGGGGAATCAGAGGAGGACGAGGAGGAGGAGGAGGGGCCTGGAGACCCATCAGAGTCAGAGGGAGGCTCTGATGAGCTGCAGCACTTACAAACTAATGAAGAGGCCTGTCCTTCCGCTCGTGGTCAAGCTGAGAGCCAGCTGTGCTGCAGCTGCCAAAAAAGCCAACACGGTGCTAGGCTGCATTAACAGAGGGATAGAATCAAGTTCACGTGA